TACATTATTTTAGTAATTCTGTGAGAAAGAAAATTTTATCACAGATACAGGAAAAAATGGTATATTGATCGTTTTTTAAGCGGTATCTCGGTCGTTTCTTAAACGTTTTTTTATCAGAAAAAAGTTTTCCTTAACATTTTTCGAGTGGACATTTTAATCAATCAGAAACGTTTTCAAGAGCCGGTTATGAAACGTTTCAAAGAAACATTTGTGAAACGTTTTTTAAACGAATATGTGCTACCTGGGATATTATTAGTAACATATAAAATACTGAATATGTACCCATTCCTGGCCATTGAGAACCCAAGACTGAAAATATAAACCAAACAGGTCTCTTCACGCATTCATAATTTTGAATTTCCTTAATTGAATCTTGGAAAGAATTCAGTATAATGTACCCTCTCCATGGATGATTTTTTATATTGTCTGCATAGATATCGTGTAATAAGCGAATATATTCTACATCTATTGGATGGTTAGCAATCTATAATAATAAATTTTTTTATGTTAAAACATAGTATCAGTAATTGTTCAAAATAGTATCGAAATATTTTTGAAAAATCTATACTAACATCATTTAAAAATAATTTCACTGATTGTTCAGTGCGTCCAGATAATACCACAAGTCTAGATAAGTCATCATTTGGTGCTCCATTATTTATTTTCAGTTTATCATTCCACTTTAATAATACGTGAGCATTGGATCCCCCAAAACCGAAATTATTAATTCCTACGTAACCATTTTGAAGTTGCATTGGTTTTTCGATGACACGAATTGTTCCATTTATTAAGGCATCTATATCATTCCTTGGCGATGTATAATTGATATTTGGTGGAACAAAACCGGTTTCAAATGCTATTATTACCTTCAATAAATAATAACAATTTTGAGATATAAATTTGAATTAATTTGTCAAATATTGACTTATACGCTACTTATACTACATGGGCTGAAAAGTCCCGGGATTTTTAATGAAAACAAGCGTTTTTTGGGCAAAGT